AGAGAGAGAGAGAGAGAGAGAGAGAGAGAGAGAGAGGGCGAGGTTCTCTGGTGTATTCTATCCACATTAAAAGCAGAGCAGCCGAGGAAAACAAGTATATTATCACATAGAATCAAAGTATTAGCAGCTGGAAGAATAAAGAAATGGAGGTGATGTACAGCTGAGGGCGAAAGAAGTCATGAACAAGCAGAGTGCAGAAGAATAGGCATCGAACTACCAATCAACTGGAAGAACTTGAAAATGTTTCGTGATGAGGTGAACTTGTCTTGGACACTGTCAGAGCAATTTAATTATCACATATCAGACGATGATAGAGAGAAAGGGTTGGAACAAGAACAGTATGAAACAGTGCTGCAACCAATAAGAAGGCCATGGATATCAAAATATCAACCAAGCTGAAGAATCTTGAATTGTATGTTGAGTCATATGATTTCATCTCTGTCATAAGATCAATTTGTCAATCACACATGACGAGACATGCATGCATCTTGGGCTGGCAGACTTGTTGGGATAGGTTGTGTGGACTGGAATGGATATATGTAGACCTTGACTGAGAATTAGAACCGCGAGAACAGTAGCAGAAAGTATTATTAGGACTTCATGAAGAAAATTACCATTAACAAAGTAGATGAGAAAATTTTAAGAAGATAAAACTCAGAAACATTTTCTTCGTGTCATTACTAATGCTAGTATCACTCAGGATTATCCTCCTCCTACAAGCATGATTATGAAGAGATCTGATGAAATCTTGTCCAACATTAGAGTAACAAAAATGAAAAAAGTGAATCAGTTTTAAAGTGGCTAATGGTCTGCAAGATGATAAATACTAAGGAGCAAAAAAGAAAAAGGCAAAGACTTTCTGCTCATGTGAGACTAAACAGCATCAGATGGAGTAAGAAATGTTGACTTGACCTTTGTGGGGTTCTTTGGGATCAATAGTAAAATGGCCATATGCCAAACAACCACAGAGGGCATGTGAGAGGAAAATATTCTCTATCCATCCAGTGTCTATAAATGGTGAGGCACCACCCCAAGACTTTTACTGTCAACCAGTCTTCAAGAACTAAGAAGCAGGTCAGGGGAATTAAGACACCTATGATCAATAGGCATGCCATTGGATATTCCTCACCTGTGCCTTGGTCATGATGATCATGTTCTTGGTTGTGCAGCCATGCAATCAATGCTTGACTAATCTTTCTAGTTGTTTGAACCTTGAGATCGATGTGGAGTCTCTTTCTCATGAATGCCCACCATCGTAGACGGAAAATTGATGGGAGGATTCTGATAATGTTTCCTACTTAAACTTGATGAACAATTGTTCGATGATTTGAAGTCAGAACTTGAATTAGAAAGATGTAGTAGATAAACAAAAAAAATGAAAAGAAAAAAATACCCTCTTTGACAGACTGATCACACACACAGACAAAAAAAAAAGAAGGATAGACGACAATGACGATGTGACGACCGATGTTATGAGTTTGCAGATGCTCACCGGAATGTGTTCCGTTAATACTGATACTAAATGCTTGCCATGTAGCATCGAGTGATTCTATTATGATGCTTGCTGATAAGAATATCTAAAAGCTAACATGAAACCGATCAAACCGACAGCATCTTTATGGGTTACTTGTGACATCAAAAAAGCGACTCTAAAACCCAACATCTGTTGTTCTTTCTTTCCTTTTTCATGGTTTAGAAAGAAGTGAACTCAAATAAAACTGAAACAAAACAAAAAAAAAAATTGATTTTTTTTTAATCTCAGGAAAATTCGGATCTAGAAATCACTCCTCCGAGAAGATGGAAAAGTTGGGGAGAGATTAAATTGTTTCCTTCCTTTTCATGGTTTGACGACATGTTTACTGAATAAAACTTTGTGCCGACAAAAAAGAAAATCCGAAATTTCATGGATAAGGCATGTAAAAATTCATTTTTTACATGGGTAAATTTCAAATCTACACATCGCACCTCTGATGGAAAAAGATAAAAGGGCAAAGATACAGGAAACAAAAGTTCCCCATTGGATTGCTTACTCTTCCTTTATAGCTGTTCTGTTTTTGTCGCAGAGATCAAGGAACCAAGAAAAGAGAAGACATGCAATCATGCATGCACCCAACCAACCAGAAACCAAAGCAAGAAACAGAGAGATAGAGAGAGAGGAGAAGAAAAAGAGGGAAGACGCAGCGCCGTGGGAGAGCCAGCGGAAGCTTTTGGGGGACACTTGCGTGTCACTGCAACTTGCTCGATGACACTTTACCTTTCCTACAGGGGTCCACCTCCTCCGACACGCGGGCCCACGGGGCTTGACCGTCCACGGAACAGCTCACGCGAGGACATGGAACCATGGGTCCCTCTGCCATCATCTCCTTTCGAACATGGGATGGCCGACGCGAGCAGAAGAAGACGACGACGGCACGAAGGAGTGCGAGACACGTATTAACGAGAGAGATTAAAATTTGAAGCAGCAAACATAGGAGGTCCTATAATTCTTTGATCGAAAAGTAAGGAAAAAATCAATGAAAATTCTCAGACTTTTCAACTGCGATCAAACTTGTGATTTCCTCATGCAGATGGCATTAGGTGTTACTGCTCTGTTAGTTTTCAAATAAAAACCTATTTATTTTTATACATATTAATCATCAAATATTAGTGCTGTGTGAGAATACTTTTGAGTTGCTGCTGCTGCTGCAGGGAGGGAGTGTATGGAGTTTGGATATGCATGCGCGGATGCATTAATGTGCAGAAGAACGTCGTCGGACATTGTTTGATCTAATAACTCTCCTCATTTAGGAAAGGGCGTCGTCGGTGCATTCCCTCTTGGGATTCGTGGCGGGTGCCTCAAGATGCGCGCACGAAGCCGCAGGGAACCGTTAAGATTGGTGCGGGAATCACGGGTGGCTGAAACGAGCTCTCTCCCCAACTCTACCGTCCCGCATCGGAAAAGTCAAAGCTTTGACTCGATCATTTGGCATCACATACACTAGTCTTTGATTTTATTATTGTTCTTTTTCTTTTTTTTTTAGTAGATGAAATATGAAATCAATTATTTTTTTATGCAGACCTTTCGGATTCCACTGTTCCTTTTTTTTTATTATTATTTGCAGTAAATCCCGTTTAAGGTTGCCTCCAAGTAGTAGTAGTAGTAGTAGTAGTATATATATTTCTCTATTTCATTTAATAATAATAATATTTATTTTCTTTGGAGCATGCAGCAAGAGGTGCGTCTTCCTTTTTGTCTTTTTCTTTGCGACAGAGGGGCCTCACTTTTCCTGAGCAATTGTCTCCCTCCCTCTCGCACCCATCGGACGCCGGCACTCCTGTCTAAAGTAATCCGTTTGCAGGGCAGCGGTTGAAGTCTCGGAGAGGAAAAGGACAGAATAGAACCTGTTCTTTTCTGGCCTTTGGCGTGGCCGGCCTTCCGTTCCTCCGTCTCGTCTTCGCTACCTGGGATAGGAAAGAGATTTAATTGGCCTATCTTCTTTCCTTGGGGTTGATCACCTAAAGTTAGGATTTTGATTCGTCGACGTTGCTGGGTTTCTTGGGTCTCAGGCCTAGTGTTCTTCCGGGGTTCGTAGCTGATTCTAAAAAATATGTATATATATGTCTTTTTCTTGATTTTTTTGATGGGTTTGAGGTGTTTGGATTAGAATTCGATTTGTTCTGGTATAAAGATGGAATCTTGATCGATGTTTGCTTTGGGGAACCTCCCTGGCGTTTTGATGGGTTGTCTCTGACTTTTCGATTGTTTCGGGATACGCTGATTATTGTTCCCGAGGATTTAGGGTGAAGTTGGAGTTTTGATCGGGAGAGTTTACTTTGTGGTGTATCGAGTAGGATTCCTCGGCATTTCCTTTTTCCCATCTCCGTTTGGGTACCTTCTGAATGTGCAACTTTGTGTGGTTTCTGGAGATCATTTTCTTGATTTTCCAGTTGGCTTTTGATGTTTAGCGCTGTTGGTGCGGCTTTGGAGTTGGCTTAGGTTTCGGTGACTTTCGAGACTGCCGGGTGCTCTTCTTCCTTATGTTTGTGCTTCCAACTTCCCCCCGGTAATCTGCTGGGAATATATGCTCTCGGTTGAGGAAGTTGATCTACAGTACAAGGAGATTTTTGTTTTGTTGGATTGGGATGCCCTTGGATCAGAGAATTCATTAGAATTTATAGGTCACCGGGGTTGAGGCCATAGCGTATTAGGACTGTTTAAGCACTCTCCGGGCCTCCAAGGAGGAACTCTGGAGTTCACTTTCCTTGGGGTTGTTTAAGATGGCCTGTGTGAAGCTTGGTTCGAAGACTGATGGGTTTCAACGGCAAGGGCAGGCCTGGTATGTTTTTCTTGTGATTATTGTGGTTTGATCTTTCACTTTTGATTTTTCGTGAAGATTTGCTGAATTTTTGCTTTAGAATATTGTGTCTCAACTGGTGGTTGTCCTCTGTTAATTGTGAGGAAGTTTGTATTGAATTCGATCTTAGTAGCTCTGGAACTTAATGTATGTATTGGTTCTTGTACTTTTCTGTCACTTTAATGTGTATATTGTTTTTTTCCTTTGCTTTTTATGTTTATGCATGGCATTTGACATATGATGAACTTCGCTGTGGATGATGGTAATATTTGATATTCTTTGAATCTGTACATATTTGCACTTCTATTTGATATATCATTTCAGATGATGCTTGTTGCTGCAACTTAGTGTATATAATATTAGCAATTTGTGGTCAAAACAATTAATGCTCCAGGTGCTTTATGTGATTTCAGGATTTCAACTGACAATAGGTTTGGACGTGGTTGTTATAATGGATATTGTTGATTGTTATTTAGGATAATGTTTATTCTTAATGAAGTTTGATGTTTAATTATAAATTACTTTATTTATTAGAAATAAGGATCTTTTCATTGGGATGCATCGAGGGCTTTTATGGTCATGTAATTGTGGTCAAATATCCATTCCTGAGCCAATACTTGGAAGATGATTATCGAGTG